TTTCTCTCTTCCTGTAATGTTATTGTTGATGTCCCTTAGCTGTCTTTCATTTGTATAAAAATGTTGCAAGGAGAGACATGGCTGTAAACTTTCTAAGGGTTGTCATGGCTACTCCTGACAAACAAAAAAAAAATTCAATCCTTTCTTCTATACCACTAAAATCATTCAACATTTCTCACCCTTTTCCTACATATTCCAACTTGATTTGGCTTTTTTAGAGGAAAATCTTATAGGAAGCTAATTGATTCAGCACAACTTGTCCAACTCAGAAATAAACAGAGGTGAAAAATTATCTCATTTTTTTCTTTTCTTTTTTTTTCAACCAGATTGTGAACAGAAGACTGTTTCACACTCTGTCTCCCATGGGGCAATGTGATGAACTAATCATGTAGCGATCTACCAGGTCACAGCAAATAATTAAGACACTTGTTACGGTGTTCTGTGTGGTGCCATCCTGTAGTGATTCTGAATGGATTTTCCATGAATTCAAGAAAAGATTCTTTAAAACCCTAATTTAAAATCTACATCTTAGCTAATTAAGAACACTGTGGCTCAAACTAATGTGTCATTTCACATCTAGTGTATTGATAATGTGCCATCCTGAGTGTAGGTGTCAATTTTTCCTCCTGTCCTTAGCTCTTCCAAATTCTAAGGTATTTGCTGAAAAAGGAACACAGACATATTTTATAGCTTTAGTGATCAGCATGAAAAAAAAAAAAAGCATAAGACAGTTTGCATGCATGGGTACCAATTATCTGATATTTTCATATTTTCATGTTATGTTTAAAATGCCACTGGAAAAAATAATAGTGTCCAAAAAGAAGGCTCCCCTTGCAGTGTGGGGCTGATTAACATTAGATTAATTAGACAAAGATGCTGAGGAATCCTTTACAGAATTTTTTTTTTTTTTAATGGAGGTATTCATATATCTGTCAAGCACAGTTTACAAGTGAATCTGGCAAAAACAATGCATTACCTCACAATATTTTCCATATACAAGGTGTGACCTCTCAGGACTGTATGCATCTTACTATGTGGCAAGCACAAATAGCCCTACTTTAAAAACAGAAATTCTGATATTCAAATAAATAATAAGGTTCCACAATTTCAAAGAGACATAGAGGACCTCAGCTACTTTTTTTTTTTTTAATGTGTAGAAAATCCAGGACAATATAAGCTTCTAAAATCTTTCTGAACAGTTCTGAGAAAGTCTGGCTTAAAATTCTAAGATTTTGTCCCTCAGTTTTATTTCAAAAATTGCTGGTTCTTCACATCTGAATATTCTTGAATTATTTCTGTAATTAGTATTATTCTAAAGTTAGTTGTTAAACTAATATTACAGTTACTTTTTTGAATTTTGGGTTTTTAAAAATGCATTTAGGAAAAGAAAATATTTGGTTCTAGGTTTTTTTCACATACGCTTGAATAAATGATTAAGAAAGAAATACAATAAGACTGGATATAGTAGTTTTGTTCTAAAACATAGCATTATTCTATATGTCATCCTAATTCACAGCTTAAGACCTAATTATTTAAGTGGGATTTAATTCAAATACAGCTGAAACATGAGAAGAGGAACATTTCAAATGTTTAAACAGAAAAATGAAATTAAGAACTATACAATGATTATATACTAATCATTCTAAGCTAAATATGTTATCAATAGATTATTTTAATATACATATATATTTCTAAAGCACATAAAGGAGATACTTATATCATTCCAATAACAAAAAAAGAGACAAAATGAAGTTAATTGAAAATAACACATCACCATTATGATAATATAACATCTAAATAAAAATTATAAAATACTTTAAAATTTTTATAAAATCTTAAAATTTCAAACACTTCATATTTATTTCAGTGATTTGATTTCAATTTTGCAGATCCCAAACCACAAAAAAACTTTTACTTGTACCATGTTATTAAAACTCTTTTATAAATCCTCTTTGGTTTTGTGAGAGCAAAGGAAAAAGAAAAACTTTGAAACGAATAACTTGGTAATTTTTACATCTTTGTTTCATTTTCTGCAACACAGGTGCAGAAAATGTTTAAATATTAGAAAATTATAAATATTCTTTTAAAATGAAACTATAGAAAATACAATTAATTTGTATAAGATAGTAGATTTGAAAAAAAAATGTGTTAAATACTAAACATTGTGAAAATTAACCTGAATGGTTTCCATCAGTGTTTTCTGTTTCACCTCCCTTTATTTTATTTACTTCAGATTATATAATAAGTACAATTTATACTCAATGCTATATAGAAAAATTATTAGTGATATGATCGCTAAAATACAAATAATGCATATTTTTAAAGTATTAGCCAGTCCATAATTTTAAATCTCCATAAATTAAATTATTTCCCTTTAACCCTTTCTAATAATTCTACTATTTAAAATAGTGAAAGTTTTTCAGCTCTTATGATCACTTCCACACCTTACTTAGAACTAGAACCCCTGGCTGTTTTACACCTAAGAAGTACTGTATAAATAGTTCACTCATTTGGGCACATGACTTGTGTGGATAGCATCAGTACTTATTGCTGTCAGTGCTTCAATCTGAACATTATCTTCACCCTCAGCTTTTGTAACTTGGAGAGAAATACAGTAATAAATGATTTCTGAAAAGACATTTAGCAATTAACTGTGAAAACATCCTTTTAAAATTAATTACTAAATTTAAATAACACATTACCCACTGGTCATATTATGTTTCAATTTAAAACCTATGTGTTTAGCCACCTTGCTAACATTGAAATATATATACATTAGGCAAATATTACATCACAATATTAAGCATGTTTTGAAAGTCATTTTTTGTTTGGTCCAATGTAAATATTAATGAGTTAACTCTTACTTACCCAAAACTTGCTTACTGTGGACAACATATCCTAATTTTCCTTTTAATTATAATAAATAGAATAAAACCAATAAATATTAACTTTTTCTATTTTACAATGAACTCTATCTTTCAGTAAGTAATCAATTAATTTCTACCTTTTAAATTTTATTTTTTAACCTATAAAAAGTATTAGTTTTAAAACCATTATTTTTGTTAATAATATTAAAGTAGATGATTGACATTCATTTTAGGGCTTATTTTCTTCCCTACTTGGTTTCAAAGCCTTTACATAGGATTATTAAACTGGAATGTCATGTAATATCCATCAATCTCAGTTATTTACAGTATATGAAACTTCTCTTGCCACTCCATGTCTCTTATACCCATTACTTTATTTCCTGAAATTAAGTATAATTTGCACTGCAAAAGAGCCAGAAATAAGGAAACAGTTTTAGTTATTAAAATGACAGCTGAAGAGTTAAACTGTTACAGGTTTTTGTTTTTGTTTTTGTTTTTGTTTTTTTGATGCTATTAGACAAACCATTTTTTCATTAAGGGTCAAAATCAATAGCGCCGATGTGAAAGTTGTAAGAATCTCATTAATAAAATTAATTTGCATTTCATGTTAGCTATACCAGCAAATACTTCAGATGCTTATGGTTAATTCAGTTAGCAAATTTCAAGGAAAAAAACAATTTTGCCTTTCTTATTTTACCAACATGGAATGGAAATTTTACATAAGAGCATATTGACTACTAAAGTTATTAAAATCCTGTTCTACATCAAGGGTTGAATGATGTAAATAGGAACAAAAAAGTTTCACATCCAAAGTGTCCATCTTCTTTTTTTCACTGGAATGACAAAACAGAATATACTTCAAACCAGAATTGAATTCCTATTAGAAAGGATAATAAATATTAACAACTAAATGAAAATATGTCAACATTTTCCCTCGAAATAACAATTCACTAGAAATCCATGGACAACTCATTCTCTTTGAAGTTAAGAGACTGGAAATGACTTCTTGTCATAATGAAAAAGCAGATTACAGTACCTCTTTATATTTCACAACTAACCACTGTGCAAAAAGAAAATTTAACTTAAGTATAAGAGCAAATATTTAATGGCCATTACTATACATTGCTGTTTTTCAGGAATGGGACTACTTCAACATTTTCTCTGTGTGGAAGGTACAGAGTGTTCAGGGGTGATGACCCTTGAAATTAAGAATATTAATATTCCAAGGTGAGGCACAGGACAAACTGGAAAAGCGATATATCAATATCGTGAAGAAGGCTGCCTAAAAGGTTTATTAGAGAAGCTATTTTATTTATTAAAAAAACAAGGAGTTCGACAACATGGATTTTCATCAACATTTTGGAAAGTATAGTTTGCATTATTGTTCACTAGGAAACACAGTTATTCTGATCCATGTTAAGTCATACTAATGGATTACATATTAAGTAGAAAGAAAACATATACTACATATCTTTAGTATAGGTGTTTCCAATATGACAGCAAGCTATTAGCAACAAACTTATCAAGCGACTGTGAAACGGAATGAACATTCTTAATAACTCTGCCTGTGTACCCCATCGCAGCACCTTAGCAACAGGGGAGACGAAAGAGATACTTTAAGTTTCCACAGGGTAAAAAGCTGTAGCTAAGCAAAACTGATAACCAAAATACTGAAAACTATAGCTTGATTTTTTAGGAACCACTTCACAATCTTAATGATTTAGTTGGCTCAATTCACCTGAACATAGACATGGCAAACCAAAAGGAACGCAAAAATCTATCCTTATCACTAAACTTGCACCAAACCCACTCCCACCTCCATAACTGAACAGTGACCTTTCATCCACCTCAAGTCAAAATCAACCTAAGACCCATGGTGACAGGTTATCTTCTCTTCTTCTTGACGTCTCATCCTTCTTTACTAGTTTTACATCTCACGATGTTAGTGGCTGCAATCTTAACACAGCTACTTGCTTAATAAACCCCAGAGTCTCTAGAGTCTTGTAATATCAGCTCTTTCGAGACTTGGGAGAAAACCCAAGGCGATTCCACACCGGCTCTCCCGCGTCCCCGCGCGAGGGTCACTCACTGCCTTACCAATCTTCCTGTGATCGTTCTCTGGGAGGCACTTACCTGCTGCTCCCCAGGCTCCGCCGACTTCACCAGGTGCTTATCCTTGTACAGAGACCAGAGACCAATGTTAGGCAGGAAAATTAAAGCCACCGTGAATAACAAAGTCATCTGCAGAAATCTCTTCTGTTTTCTCTTCATTGCAAATGGTAACAGAGAAGAAAAGTTAAAGGAGATGGCTCCCTGACTGCTCCTTGAGTTTAACGTCAAATTCCTTTCCTCTCCCCTGCGAGGCACCAGAAACTGAGAAGCTACAAACTTTTGTTGCGTGCTCAGCACCAATCTGCACGATTCAGAGGGAGTTGGCCATCTGCAGAACAAACGCACAGTTACTTTCCCCCCAGAAAACTATGACGAAGGCATTATCTATTGGCTTAGACATAAATGACTTGACTGAGGAAATCATTAAGCCCATTGACCTCCATTACTATGAAGCAATGGAGTCAACAGGATCGTTTCTTGGACTAAGGGTAAGTTATGAAGAAGTCAACAGCATGCTGGATACTTAGGGAAACCGGAGTTGTGGCTGCCGTGGTTGCTGTGGCCCCCACCCCCTCAGTGTGGGAGGGCTGGGTCGGGGTAGAGCCGGTGAGGAGAGAGAACTGAGGAAGAGGAACTGGCTCAACCCCTTCGAGGCTCAGGAAGAAAAGTGTCCGCTTTTGACACTGGAACAGCGTCCCCTTCCTGGTCTTCCCCGAACCCCTCTTCCTGTGCTCCCCTCGGGATGACCCACCTGAACTCGAGTTCCACTCCCTCCGGAGCCAGCGTGCCGGCGACCGGGCTCCCCCGGAACCAAGGGACTAGGAGTCCGGGCACAACTCCGGTTCGGAGGGAGGGCCAGGAACTGTCCGCACGCTCCTCTGCAGGCAGCGCCTCGGAGCCCGGGAACCCGGCGGGAATCCGAAGGCTACAGATGTCAGCGGCGTCCAGCCAGGAAGTGGAAGCGCCCTCCTCAGAGCGCGGTCCTCTGAAGAGTGAGCGCTCTGCCCCTCAGGCTCGTCCCTTCCCGCGGCGACGCTCTCGCCCTCCGCAGCTCATGTTACCATTCTTTTCCGGCCCCGGAACGAACCCGCAGAACAGTCGCCGGCACCTAAAGGTCGGTATTTGTCAATCTCCTTTTCTCGTGGAGGGGATGGAGGCGGAGACACCGAAGTCCGTGCGGGGCTTGGAAGCGGGTGAGGGCGCTGCGAGGACGAGCGGAAGGCGGAGAGGCGCCGCGCCTCCCCCCGGCCGCCCGCGCCCTGCTCCCCGGCGCTAGTCTTCCGCGGAGATGCCTCTGGCGTCCGCCACGAGCGGTAGCCTGCAGCCCAGAGCCCGGGAGGGGAGGGGAGGGGAGGGGAAGGCGGGCCGCCCGGCGGGGGTGGGCACTGTCGCGCGGCCTCCAGACGCGGCACACACAGACCCGGGCGCCAGGCGGCGGCGGAGGGCGAGCGTGACGCTGAGGGAGGAGAGGGGGCTCCCCGCCTGCGTGGGTCCTCTCTCTCAGTGCCTGGGCTTCTCCGGGCAATCTGGGACGGACAGCTTTGCCAGCGCCCTTTCAAGTCACCCAGAGGGCGCCAGGCCAGAGATTCCAGAGGAAAAGTCGCCGGCGGCGCGCGGGTGTCCCGGGGATTCCTCCATGGTGCCGGCGGGAGCGCGGCACGCCGGGGCGCGGCGTCTGCGGGAGGCGGAGGCGACCCGGGGCTGGGCAGGTCCCGCGGAGAGGGTATTCCCCGGGCCGCGCGTCCTGCCGTTCAGGCCTGGTAGGGAGTGGGGAGGGAGGAGGAAGAGGATCCGAAGCGAGGCCGAGCTGAGGCTCCGAGTTCTAGGGCAGCGGCTTCTGGAGAACACCCTGGAGACTCACGGCGGCGCTATCCACGGGGCCCCGGTTGGGATATGATAGTGCCACCCCGCTCCTCCCCCGCCTCGCACGACCGCACTCCGCGCGCCTGTCACTGCGAGGGATACCTGTCCTCGCACCCTCCTCCGCGATGGCCAGAAAACGTGGGGATGAAGATAGGACTCTGGCAGATGGTACCCCTCCCTCTGCCTAACGTATCAATGCACCAACGCCCCTGACCGCACACGCAGGAACCTGTGGCAGCCTTGCCAAGGGACAGCGGGCCCAGCACGGAGCACCGGCACGCTCAGATCTAGCTCTCACAACTCCGGAAGGAAAGGGGACTTAGAACAGGCAACAGACATGCTTGCAATGCAGGCTGAATCCGCCTGTCTAGAGCCAACAAGACACACCATGGTCACCTCTTTGTTACAACCTAGACAGGATGCCCACATGCTTGGGATAGATAAGCCTGTAGACTTCAGATGGTGTTTTGGTGTTTTCTCTTTTCCTTCTTTCTCATCGTCATCTCTGTCCCTCCTTCCTTTTCTTCTTGCCCTGTCTCTTCTTCCCCCTTCTACTCTCTCTCTGGTGTCTCACTTGAGAAAGACCTAGATTTGAGTGTGAAGTTATGCCTTAAAAACTATTCGCATTATAAATTCAAAATGTATTTGAACAATATAGATCGACTGTATGGCTGCATGAATAAAGCCCTATGCTGTAATACTTGTTTTGGTGAATCACTTGTTTGAATTTTAAAATAGTATAAAACCATATTTGATAAATGTTGTTGAATGTGTCCTTTATATAAAGATCAATTACCTCTAAATTTTATATAAGTGCAACTTGATCTAGAGTGCAAGGGACTTAATTCCTTACCCCCACCCCCACACATACACTGTGCCTTTTGTAGTCAGTGTTATTTTCTAACCTTTTTCTAAGGAAATGCAGCTCTGAGACACAAATAGGAATTCTGGGAAGCAACGTAGCAGGGGGAGGTTTCCTGGGAATATTGTGAGGTGCTCAAGGAAATACACTTGGAGAATCATTTAATTATATTGGATGTATTTTTAAGTACTGATACAGCTATTAATTTTCAAAGTAAAATAACTCAAAAGTGCACTTGGAATTAAATAAAATCTCTCATTTTAAATAATGCCTGTTTTTTTAATACCTAAAAAAAATCGTCTTGGTTCAGGAATGGACATATTATCATTCTGTTTGTTGACTCCAGGGTGTTGAGTTGAAACATGCTTCATCATTGTTACACTAGTAAGTGGTGTTGCATACAGCACCCAGAGAACATCATCATGAATTGCAGTGCGCTGACATAATCACTGTTACTTCCCCAATCAAGCACATGCAGAATACATGGTAGAAACAAAGGAGGAAGTTATGCTCACCTCTGTTTTACAGCACAATTCTAGATCCTCACTTTAGATTTCTCTTTTACTCTGTAAAATTTATTTATTTTTGATTCAAAGCATAATTTCTCTTTTGTCTTCAGTCAGGTATTCTTTCACAATTCCTCATGTAAATTACCAACGGATGACAATGTATCTAACTAAAATTGATACGCTAGGTTGAGTTTACAAACGAGAAAGCTCCACGACAGTTAATTTTTTTGCTCTGACAATTCAGATTAAACATCAATATAAGTGTATGTGTATAATATATATGTGTGTGTATATGTATATATACACACACACACAGGTGGACATGGTCTTTTAAATTTTGCCTTATATAGAAAGACACCCACTTTATGTCCTATTTGCACTCTGTTCTGTTAGTATTCAACTGGCAACCTCAGGTAATCAGACGCCGCTAATAATGTACTAATAGCTATAGGGACACATGGAAAGAAAACAGAGCACTATCAGTACTTTGAATAACTTAGACTGTAGTTGAAAATACAACACAAAGGCAATTGAAATAAAGTACCAAAGCTGCTTTGGTACTAATCTTAAATTGAGCCAAATTTAAGCCCTATATTTAAGGAGGCAGAAGGACATTCCTTCAGTTATCTCTCTACTCCAAAATGTAGTGACTTAAAAAAGCAATTATTTGGCTATTTCTCTTATGGTTCTGTGCATTGAATGGGCTCAGCTGGCTGGTTACACTTGCTGACACAGGCCGAGGCCTAGGAGGTTGAATGGGCTGAGCCAAAATGGCTACTTTACATGGCTGACAGTTGGCAGTGACTGTCAGCAGGGAGGCCATGGGGCTGTCAACTGGAGACCCTCAGCTTTCCTCCATATGGCCCCTGCATGTGGCCTGAGCTTCTCATCACATGGTAGTTAGGATCCAAGAGAAAGTAACCCAAGAACCTGTGTTCCAAGAGGGAGAAAACAAAAACTGTCAAATCCTCTTAAAAGCTAAGCCCAGAACTGGCACAGCCTCTCTTAGGGAGCAGTCGCTGGACAAGCCCAGATTCAAGGATGATGTGGAGACAGGGGATAAAATTGACATTTCACTGAAAAGTATGACAGAGAATATGTGGCCATTCGTAACCCACCTTAGATATTCAAAGTGACAGAGGTAGGGATTCATAAAGAAGGCCTAACCAGATTAGAAACCAGATGATGGGAAGAAGCAGGGAAAGGTTCTCATAGATTGGGTTCGGTAGAATTGTTCAGTTGGTACAAAGACAGGAAATGCCTTGAATTTAGGGTAGAAATACTGTTATTACCTTATATTTAGAAAAAAACATGATGACAGGAATGGAAATTAATTTGAAAGATGTGCAGCCATGATTTTGCTGTGTTAGCAGATATTTTCAAATGAACTAGTTAAAAGTGTTATATTTGCAAAGAAAATGCCTGGAGAAAGCCTGTCGTTTCACAAACCAAAGGTCATCAGCAACAAACTTTGGAGTATATGTTTTTACCCCAACACGTTAGAGTTGCAAATTGATAAGCTTTTGTTATTAAATATAATAAAACTATAAAGAAAATGTAAATTGCATTATTTTTAAGATTATAAAATAGTAACTATTTACATTTTTAAGAAATTATATTGAAATTTATCAGTTATCTTCAGTCTTGAATTGGTAGGGTTTATTTTCATTTAAATTTGAGTGTTTTCCAAGTTTTTTATCAGAAGGCACAAGCACTAAAACATAAAGATAATGTGTCTAGAAATTAAGATGCATTCATACTTCTTTTGTGTAATAGAGATCTCTGGAATATAAAAAAATCTTGAAAGTTTTTACTCTGGATAAACTACTAGGCTACTTTCTTATTACACTGTATTTGGCTAAATTACCTTTTTTTTTTTTTTCTTTTAAAGATTCTGCAACAAAAAAGGAGAGATAAATGCACTAAATAGCAATTTTAATAAAAGTACATTTAAATTATACAATTCATTTTGTGTAATTAAAATGACACATTACTAAAATCTTTAATTTTTTTCTCTAGAATTTCAGTATTTGCCACTACATGATAAGGAAAAACAAGAATCAAATTACATATTAAAATTGTGATATTACCCAGTCTCTATCATCATTTACATTCCTTACCAAAAGAGCCCTGAGTCCATTACCATATATATTCAGGTGCTGTTTGACAGAGGATAAAAAGTTGAACATTAGAATTTCCAGCACCGGGAGGGAGTTAAAAAGGTGGTTGCAATTAAATGTGGTAGGAGTTAAAAAGTGGCAAGTCCTAAAAGGGAAAGAAGGAAGTTATTTCTACTTGACCTGAATACTTTCTAACTAGACAAGATCCTTTACCCCATGAAGTTTAAACTCTAACTAATGAAATATACTTCCAAATAGTTTTTCCTCTACCAGTAGAATAAATCTTTATTGTAATGTATTTTCTTTACCTGTTTATTTAGTGATCACACACATATTTAGCACTTACTACATGCCAGATATATAACCCAATCCTTTTCCAAACATTGTCATTTAATCTTATAAATAATTTATTTATGTAGTTTCTGTTAATATCTCCATTTAATAGTTTAAAAAACAAGGGCAAATAGATGGTAAGCATCTTTCCTAAATAAGTGCTAGCAAGTGCTAGGGCAGGTACTTAAACCCAGGCAATTTGTGCTAGATTCCCAGCTGTTAACCACTATACCATATTTTTCTAATATTTTATTATTATCTTTCCACAAAAGGTGATAATTCTCTCTCCCTCTCTGTCTCTCTCTCTTTTATTTCTGCCTTAAAACTAAGATTATTAAAGGAGCTCAACAAAATAACTTAAAAGATGATAGTCTAGTTTTATAACCTGGAACCCTCTCTATTCATATTTTGTGTGGAGTATAAAAAAGGGGGTACAGTAAAGTAACTAACCATATGTTTGTATTTTACATATTATATATATTATTCTGTATTTTTAGTTCATATGATTACAATTTTATGTAGATCATATATCAGATTTTTATCTTAGCTTTAACCTTTATCTTTTCGTGTAAAATATTTGCACCATTTTAGAAAGAGTGTTTTGCATGTCAACTTAAAC